ACACTGAATATCCAAGCAGTATTTTATATCCATTCATAATTATGGTTGTTGAAGTAGTTCTTGTGAACAGAGTGATCAGTAGACAGGATATTACATCACCTCTCGATCTATGTCAGTACCAGAGGTAAACATGTTCTCATATGGAGCTTCAAGGAAATGGCTGTTGAGGCCATAATACACTCCTGTTGATCTAGCATTCGGTTCAGAGGATGTCCTACTATGTTGGTGAATTCTAAAGAGGAGCTGAATAGGGTCAAAGGTCGGGACTTTCTGTTGCCAGGAGCCTCAAAGAAACCATCACTGATTGGCTCTTAAAATGCACATTCCCTTGGAGACGAGCTCCCTGTCCCATTTGCGGGGTCCTTGTACCGCTGCTGGTTGTTATAGCAACAGACAGGACGTGACATTGTTGCATAATATGCTGTTTTTACTCTTCCCCGTTCTGACCTTATTGGTGGGCTATTTTCTAATCAACTATTTGTCTGCTGGTGCAGGGCAACAGGTCACCACTGACTGTTAATGGACTTAGTCATCACCCAGTGAAACAGACCTGAGGATGAAACTGGATGGTTGCTGGATGATTGCTGTTCTGTTAATGGAAGATTTATGTAATTTACCAGCCTGATATGACATTAAACATTAGAACAGTGCTTTGGATAAAAGGATGGTACTCAAACCCTACCATTTTCCTTCTGTGTGAGCTTAAATAATGTAAATAATCATTAGATGGAGACATTTTAGAACTCATTGGAATCCGACTAGTTGTGCGACAGTATCTCCCTGATGTCTCCTTGTGACTGTGGGGGTGTCAACAGTCCAGGCTTAGCATGCTTGTTAGCAACCAATGTGTATCTAAGCAACGCACCATGTCATCCAAGAATTTATGTGTCTTTGAGCAGCAAAGTACTTCATTTTTGTCTCCATCTGTAATATTGGATGCGTGCAAGGAGAAGAATTGAATTCCACACAGACCTCACAAACTAATCAGTTTTACTTTATCAGATTTTTGGCAAATGTGATAAAGAGCAAACAATTACCAAATGCACAAAAAAAAAAACCAACGTTTTATGTAGTTAGAATTGTAGACAGGGTTCTGATTCAGAATAAGAAGTAAAGGACAGCTTTAGATTTCACTATGTTCTTATTCTTTTTGGCATTGCGGTAGAGTCCATTGTCATGAATACTCAGTTGGGTCTTCCTCCTGACTCAGAGAGCCTGTGGTGTAACTAAGCTGCAGCATTCACAATCTGTTTCACCACTGGAGTGGAGGCAATTATGAAGTGGAAGTCTTCCATTTGCTTCTCAGTTTTTTTTGTTTTTACCAACTCTGCACAGAATGTAAAACAGTACAGTTTTTCTTTTGGTTTGAAACTGAAGCTCAGGATGTCAAGATTTTTTTAACGATTTGTTAGAAAGGAATAGGGTAAATATTTCTCCTTTAGAATGAAAAGTCAAGATTAAGCTTTCCTAAACATTTTCTGTTTTGAATAATTTATAGGCTTGTGCAGCATTGGCAGTATTATACCCTTGCTTAATTCTTTCAAGTTTGCAATACTGAGCATGCATGTTATTACATTTTTACTTTTTTTTTTTACTTCAAATCTTGGAATGTGGCCAACCAGATAACTTTCTAGAAGCTTTTCCTTAACTTTATGAACCTCACCACCCTTTAGTAACTAAGTTTTACATTAAGATTCCATTACAGTGCCAGTGTGTATATATGTATGAGCTTTACTGCTGATTTTTTCCTTTTCACTTGGCCCACCCCTTTCCTCCTTCCATCATAGTTATGCAGTCGCTTATTGAACAAGAACGTTGCTTTTTTCACTGCTGGTGGTGTGTTCTTATTCTTGTTCTGTTCAATAAGATTACATGTCAGACTGACATCTGCTTACCACTGAATTCTTCCTGTTCTAGCGAGCCACAAGATGAAGGGCTAATATGCTCTTTATCTTATTTTCCCTGCAGGTGGTGAGACTTAATATTTACAAGTAACATTTAATCCAGATTGAAATTTTATTCCATTTTCATTTCTTGTGATGTCTTTTTTCTGTGTCACACTTCTTTCCTACAATACATAATGTCATAGCGTAAAACGTCGAAAAGCAGGCCGACTGTGCACTCCAGACGTGTTAAGATGCTAAACATCACCTTGTGCGTGCATGTAGTTGAGTCTGCTTGCCACAGTGCATCATCATCACCCGCTAATTCATTACTAAAGAGCACAGGCTTACTTTTCCTGTGTAATCAGGCGTAATATAAATGTGTATGTGCCCAGGTTACATTTGCACACATGTGTGCATTCTTTTAAATATAAAGCCAGGAGAGGCAGAGCGTGTGTGAGTATGTCGTCCATGCTTGAATATGACAGGAGAGTTGAACTGAAGGATAACACCTTAAAAAGGTGAAGAGTAACAGAACTTAAAATTTAGCATGCATCCCTAGGAGACTATAAAGAGAACAGACTCCATTACACTGATGTGCACTGGTAGCAGAACTACTGAACTATACTGTACCTAGGCCAATATAACACACAGTAAAATAATTTAAGTCTCCTCAGTTCCACCAGTACAGAGAATGTAGAACAAATAGTTCCCATTTGTACAGGATTTACATTTTAATGTATGACCGTGTATCGCTTTTAAGTCTTTTAGTAAGTCTGGGACTTTATTTGACAAAAAGCTTAAGATTTGCAGATTCTGACCAAGATGACATGAATCCACATATGGTCAGTGGACACAGCTGAAAAGCAATAATCTGTGTGAAGAACAGCTTTAGAAAGTGCCTGAATTGCTTTAGAAAGTGTTTGAACAGCTTGATAAACTACTGCAGCCGTTCTTTCGTGAAATAACGACAATGCACAGTAAAATAGTCCAATAATGCTTCCTTTAAACGTATCCACAGTTGAGTGTGTCTTAGTAGGTCTTAATTTGCGTCTCAGCTGGAAATGAAACCATTGGGGTTTGGTGCCTGAATAAGTGTGGAGCTCTATATGGGTGTTTGGCTAATAGCGCGAGTCAATGATCCATGAATCTCACGCTTTACACTGCAATTGTATGTTTCTTTTTTCCTTTCTTTTCAAAATTGATTTGAAATGGACTTTTAGAAGATGCCTCAGTGCTACTTTTTATTTCTGAAACTGGAATGTTCTGTATGCTATTATGTCAGGCCAGAGTTTGACACTGTAATTGACTGACATTCCCCTCAGCTAACTTTGCTCAAAATCTGTGAAACATAACTAACTTTGATCAGTTTATCACCTGAGAGCAGAAATGCTTCTAAAAAGACCAAAGTGGAAGTCATGCACATTTTAATCCTACAAAAGCCCGCAATCACTTGAAGAAACATATGACAAAGGAGTTTCTGAACAGCGTGTGTTTGACACCAGATGGAACTGATCTCCTTGTGTGTTTTTGTGGCACAAAGAAGATTCATTAAGAATGAAGTTATCAAGGAGACCGTGTTATCAGCGCTAGAATATGGTACATTATGCAAAGGCACATCTCCTAGAAAGCAAACTGTGAACTTAATAGCTTCTCATAACATAATATTAAGAGCATCCAATGCATCACCTACCCTGTGTATTTACAAATTAAAGTCAATTACACATAGCCACCCATCTTCTTCTGCTTATCCGCCTCGCCTATCCCAGCTATGACAGCAGGAGAGAAGGGGGCGGCTCATCAGTCTGTAGCGGGGCTAACACAAATAGATAGACAGGCATGCATTCACACTCATATTCGCATCTAGAGCCACGTTAGAATCACCAGTTAACCTAACCATGTCTTTGGACTTTGGGAGGGTCCCATTACCCAGAAAGAACCCACACAAGCACAGGGAGAACATGCAGAGTCAACACAGAAAGTATTAAAGGCCAAGGACCTTCTTCCTGTGAGGCAACAGTAATAACCACTATATACTATACTATGTATAGTAATATACATAGTAATAACACTGATTTACTAGTACAATATAACCTTGCTTTTACATTAGTCATTGAACTTTGGATTTAGTTATCTATACTTAATTGTGCATTATTTTTTGTCTATGCTTTTCTATACGTGCATATGAATTATGCTTATTTTTTTATATATCTATTTATATGTGTTTATTACTTTATTTAATCAGGAGTAGTATCCTAATATTGTCATTATGTTCTGGTTTCACTCAGTACAGTCACAACACAGGCTTTCTATTCTATTCTATTCTATTCAACACTATATTGTTATACTGAAGTATGGACTTTGTGAATTAGCAACTTGTTTTTCTATGTCAGAGAAATATATACCTAAATCTACAAAAATCTTTATTTTCATTAAATCATAAATTTGGTTACTTAAAATACTAATTTTAGATTTAGGTGTTACAGGATCGGTATATTCTTAACCTGGGTAAATGGTTTAAAAGCCCAGTAGAATATTTGAAAAAGTTACAACACAGAGTATTTGTTGAAAACAAGGAATATTTGTTCTTTTAGGTCATGTGAAATGTTTGCAGAATGAATGGTTTTAGAGAAGAGTTCCTGTAATATTTCAGTGAGTGAACAGATCAGTGGCAGAGTGCAGGCACAAGCACTGATGTGAAATTATTAAGGGGTTTTTACATTAATCGTTTCGTAAACCTTAGCTCTGGCGTACAAATAAGAGGTCTACAAACAGCCTCTTACTTGTGTCGCAAATTTCCCACGCCATGCAAATTTATGCAAATTCATTCTGTTGTTTTTTTCCATGGCAACAACTTGAATATGTGTGTGTGTTGAACTTTATACTGTACAGCCAAGTGAATGATAGTGGCTGAATTGCATTTTATCTGCAGCAGTACTCGTGGTTGTGCTGAGATGTTTCTTTTTTCAGAAATATGGAGCATGCTTAGTGTATAGTCAGCACTCAGAGCTGAGTACTTAAAATGAACAATCAATAATAATTCTCTCTTTCTTTTCCTCATCCCTTCTCACTGTTGCCCTCTCTTTCCATCATTCTTTTTTTCTGTCCCGCCCTTAGACACGTCTCCGTGGGTGAGGCCCACTGATCCAGAAATTCCTTCAAACCCCCTCAATCCCTTCCCCCTACCCTCTTCTCTCCTTTAGACCCCGTCGCCTCCACTTTATCCACCATGACTTCCACAAGCCAGCTGTTTGGCTTGGCTGAGGTGGGGCTGAGGTGTGACCAGGAGATTGAGAGGAGATATGAGATTGTGCCCTCTGTGGTCTGCTCCATGTGCTGCCTCTTTGGAATCATCTATTGCTTCTTTGGTAAGTGATTAACTAAAAAGAAAGAAAGAAAGAAAGAAATCAACATTAATGAAAATTTTAATAGCAGTTTCTATCTTAAATATGAAGCACTTTGAACAGCCAATTATATTAGTTTATGGAAAAAGAGAGAAAAAAAGACAGCAAGGTCACAAATTGCTGGAAATGTCAAAGTAAACCTCCAATATTATAAAGATAGAATCATCTTAAAATGTATCCAAGATCAATATATGACTTTCTTTCATCCATTATGCTCTAATTCTAAGTTACCTCAAAGCAACTCTCTTGCATACAGACTAGAGCCCTTCTGTGTGGCCATCTGCCAGCAGCAGTAATAACAATGGAAACGTTGCGAGTCAATTTATTTTTATGTACAAACGCTGATTAAAAAATTGCTAAAGCATGGTGCCAAAACCCCATGAAATCCCTACTCATCATTTTCAGTTCATCCTGCTCTGCTGGTCTATGTATATTATTGATTTAAGGGCACTACAGTGTAGTTCTCTTGTTTCTGACTCTGTGAGTCAATATTGAGTTCTCATACAGCAGCAAAGACTACTGTGACTTTAGTGGGTGTGTGTTTTTGCTTCACTTTGGTGAATGAGTTGCACTAAAACATGGCGAACACACAGCGTGGACTGAGCTCAAGTAAAATCCAGATATTAAAGCGATCACGATCAGACTAAAACATGCTGTCATTCCGCTTCTTATTCTAAGTCATGTTTCTTTTTCTTTTAACTAAAAGTTGTAGGAATACTGATTTTTTTTTAAACTTGCACAAAGTTTTGCAATTAATAAAAAGTGCCGTGCCAAAAAGGCAGCAGACCTCCTGTTGTGTGTTTTTTTTAATCTCCTCTGTGTCTTCAAATGTCTGGACTCATACTGTATGCACAGGTCCATTCATTAAAGAACGAAGTCCTTATTGAGGCTTAGTTTTGTGCTCAGAGAGAGAGAGACTGCATTTTATTGGATCATAAGTGAGGGGTCACTCTAATTAGTTTGGATGCAAAGTCATTACAGGAATGTGTAATCAATAAATAATCAGGGTAAAGCGATCTCCCTGTTTATCTAAAGGAATGATTAATGTGAGAAATACTCACTTGCAGCTATTTTTTTCATTTAAGTGCCGGAAATTTTCATCTTCTCTGCTTTCTGCAAGTTAATGATAGTTTGGCACGGCCTGTAGGAATGAATACACATAAGATCAAATGCATAGCCTACTAAACTGGGATTTTTCTGTACTTTCTGTACCCGAGAAGACACTTTTCTTATGCATTTATTGATATTGATGTGATGTGATATCCATCAACCTTTCCACAATGATTTCTTTCTTCCATAGGAGAGGTGATTTTACTTTTGCATACAATGTTTTGTGTACAGACAAATGAAATCACACAACACAATAAAGGAGTAATTCCTCAAATTCACAGGTGTGTATTTAAGCCTGAAACGTGCAGCTGCCGGTGAAACAAAGAATTTATCCAACATAGATATATTTTCTGGTATGAAATCCTTGAAATTATTTAGGTTTTCTTTTTTTTTTTTTTTTGGTAGTCTTGCATGGTCAATATCCAGTCAAAGAAAACACATAAAATTGGAGGCAGATTTTGAAATGGTCTGTTTGTAAGCCGGTGGAAAATCTCTTTTGAAAATGAAAAAACAAATAAACAAAAGATAAACTACTGTCAGTATTTACAGGAAACACACAGTGTCAATTTAGTGACTGAAAAGCAGGGGCATGTTTATTTTTGTGGCAGGTCTCATTACATATGTATTTTTAGGAGGGTTTTTTTTCCCTTTTTAACCTGAATAATTTGAAGCAAATTATATGATTTACGAAAGTTTGCAGAACACAAACTTGTGTATTGAGTCATATTTCATGCTTAAAAGAAAAAAAAATATTATTATGCGCCTGATCTGCATTTGATTGTTGCCACTAGGATAGTAAATAAAGTTTTGGTGCTGTAGGCAGATCTATAGGATTTTAAGCAGAGAAGCCCCTTGTCTGGATTAATCCTGCAGTCGATTGGAGATGTCAGGTGCCATCAGGTAGCAGCTGCCCCAACCTGCAAGAGCCCCAGAACAACCTGTATGCTGTTTTTTGGATGAATATTGATGTATGTTGAATATGCTGAACCTCTGAGAAGGCTTGTTGCGTGCAAATGCACAAGGAGGGATTGAGAGCACATAAAAAGCATTAACATTCACTGTATACACCAGTAATACACTAGTGTGAGTCAGGCTCTCTGGGATTTTTTTTTTTAAGAAATTTGACAGCATACACATAATGTTTCTTTTATTTAAAAAGGGTATATCACACTGTTATTCAAAGATATTGCAAGAGCAGACTTTTGGCGTTTTTTTGGGAGGGGCAAATGACTCTTCTGAGCAACCTAAGCTGAACCACTAATTGTAAGCATAACTCCTTACTGGTTAGTTATACAGTTCAATTTGAAAGAAATGTGAAAACAAATTGCATTGTGATCCTTGTTTTGCAATCTTAAAGCACTGCTGTAAGATTTAAAGTCTCAATTTGCCCATCATTTCTTTATATTTTCTGACAAGGAGCCAGACTTTATTGTATTGTTTTTGAAGTGGCCTCGAGCAATAGTTCATTAGGCTTTCTAAAGGTCTTTTAAAGCTTTTAACTGAAAAATGGCTGTTTTTCAGTTCATTCTAAGTACCTTTTTATTTATTTACATCTATTTTTTTTTAAACTTAAGACTGACCAATGAATCTTTCAAACATAAAAAACGTACCTAATTCAAGGGAGGAACTGGTGTTGCATCTACAGATAAAGCAACTTGTTACTTATTTAATGTGGGATCATTTTGACAAAGAATGGAACAAAAGGCATTCAGTATCCAAAGAACCTTCACAGACAAGAACTCTGAATGTCCTTCAAGAAGCCTGGAGAACTTTTCCTGAAGACTAGCTCAAAACCTTTGAAATGTGTATAAAGAACTGCTGCAGAAGTCATCACTCTTTTTTTTTTTAAAGGTCACATTCATTTAGTAAGAATCCAAAATGTGATGTCCTTGTTTCAAAATTTTTGCATACGGTACAGGTACATGTTCTTATTTTTATATTGGGATAAAAGTGTATACTGTTATTATGCTGCATGTTGCTGGCTGTGATCGAAGGTGTCACCAAAAATCGTTTCTTACATCCTGCCAAAAAAATCAACAGCAAGAAATAAGAGACATCAAATACACGACAGCATAATTTGACTTCAAATTCTTTACCTCCTCAGTCCTACTAGTCTGTTTGTCTCTCTGTTTGACTCCATGCATTGTCACTCTCGGAGCTATAATCACTCTTCTGCAAATGAGATGCAGAGCATATTGTTGATGTTTCTTGGAAACCCCGCAGTCACATTTGAACAATATGAAGAAAACCGTTATCAGCAGGAAGATTGATTCTCCCTACTGATAAAGTCCTCTTGGTACTGCAGAATTTAGTTTACCTCCAATGAGTTAGGAAGAAAGGGTTAGCTGTCATTTATTTGAGTCAGAATTACAAAGTTGTGGTGGAAATGATGAGTGATGTTATTGGAACAAGATGGATGAAGCAGAGAAAAATGTCGAAAGACATGCGTGAACAGATGGGAGGGTTTGATGGAGGGAAAGTAGGGAGAGCAGAGAAGAGGAATGAAGGGAGTGGGAGGGATGGGAAAAAGGTGCAGCAGCAGAACTGTTGAAAGGATAGCAGCCTAATGAAGGGAAAGAAGAGGAAAAGATGGCAGAAGTAAAGGAAAAACAATTTATTTTAGAATTTGTTTGCTGATTTATGGGAACCATCAAATATGAAAGAATATTGTTGCGGATTTGTGACAGCTGCTGACCAAACACATTTTCTGCTAGCTGTAGATGTTATGGAAATGCTTGAATTACTCCGTGTCAGGACTTGTACCCCTTGAGGCATTCTGTTACAGAAGAAGTGCAAACAGCTGTGATGAATACAGTGGCTTTCACTGCACACAGCAACTGAAAGGTATCTAGGAAAACACACATGACAGAGGGGAAGGAATAAAGGAAGCTACAAGAAGTGTGTCAAATAAATGAGGTATGGTCACAAGGGGGGAGGAGCACGGATGGTGGTTAGGATGAGAAGAGGAGCATTGTTTGACTCAGCTGTGCAATGCCTGATTACACAAAGATAACAATCTGACGTTGGGTCCCCTCGAGACAGAGCCCAGTCAGAGAGACGGAGCTACTGAGTCGACATAAAGGGGGACACAAACGTTAATAAACATAGAAACAGGACAAGGAGATTTAAACTATTGATAAGACGAGCCTTTAATCTTTCAGAGTATTTTTTCTTTGTTTTCATTGAGTTAAAACACTTTAAGATGGAAAGAAAGCCAAGAAGGACAAGAGGGAACATATGGGGGAAAGGAGCAGCTGTTCTATTCAGCAAGCCTGCTGACTAATGAATGTGGATGACCTTTAGTAATATGATGATGATCATATTTTAAAGCAATTTCATAAATGTTTATAGAGCGAGTTTATCGCTTCTCACCATTCTGCGGAGAGGAAGTGCCTCTCTCTTTCTTGCCCACCATAGCATGGTTGCTGTTTATCATTATTTTTTTTCTCTGTTCATTATGCTTTCTCCCTGGCATATTTTATCTTTTCAAATGAAATACGATAAGATCCTTTTAATTTCAAGAGCCATTTGCAAAACCACAAACAGCGTATAGTTAATCACTGGGCTGAATGGAGAAAACAGTGCGGTGTAATTACAGAACCAAAGCAAAATGTTAAATCGGGAAACAAATACCTGTGGCACTTACTGCTGATATACACTAATGGTTTTTACTGTTCCATTAAAAATGTAATTTTGTTCTGCTACAGTCATGGCATCATCCATCCCATCAACAGCTGTAAATGTTTATGTCTCACTAAACCAATGTTCTTTAAAGTAGTCTATAGCTTTTAGATTTTTCAGTAAGTGTGGCCAATGATGAAGACAGATAACACAATAATTAATGTAAGTTCATGTTCAAATTAGGAAGAATCAAAATTTGGAAACCAAAAGGTTTTCACACGGTATTATATATATATTATATATAGTATATATATATATATATATATATATATATATATATATATATATATATATATATATTATATATATATATATATATATATATATAATTTTTTTTTTTTTTTTTTCAGCTGCATGGATAGTTTGGTAAATTGAGTTTTTAGGTGCTGATCCAAAAGTCGCTCGATTTCCCTCCACATGTACAGGTTTGTTTTGCAAAACATGAGGTGTTTACAAAAAAAAGTACAACAGAGATAAAAGAAAAAAAAAAGAAATCTGTATTTTATTACAATCATCCATATGTCCATCCATTTTCTTCCGCTTATCCGGAGCAGGGGCAGCAGCCCAAGCAGAGAAGCCCAGACCTCCCTCTCCCCAGCCACCTCCTCCAGCTTGTCCAGGGTCCTGGGTCTGCCCCGGGGCCTCCTCTCGGTGGGACATGCCTCACCCATGAGGCGCCCAGGGGGTATCCTTGTCAGATGCCCAAACCACCTCAACTGGCTCCTTTCGATGTGGAGGAGCAGCGGCTCTACTCTGAGCCTCTCCCGAATGGCCGAACCTCTCACCCTATCTCTAAGGGAGAGGCCAGTCACCCGCTTGCGATCTCGTTCTTTCGGTCACTACCCACAGCTCGTGACCATAGGTGAGGGTAGGGACGTAGATCGACCGGTAAATTGAGAGCTTCGCTTTTACACTCAGCTCTTTCTTCACCAAGACAGACCGGTACAGCATCCGCATCACTGCGGCCGCCACACCAATCCATCTGTTGATCTCCCGCTCCCTTCTCCCGTCACTCATGAACAAGACCCCGAGATACTTAAACTCCTCCACTTGGAGCAGGAACTCATCCCTGCCTGACCCGGGAGTGGGCACTCTACCCTTTTCTGGCCGAGGACCATGGCCTCAGATTTGGAGGTGCTGCATTTTTTATTTGTATTTCTCTTGAGTCTCACTCACAGAAATATTAAATTAATGTAATCATAATTGGACATGTTTTTTTGACTCAAGTATAGGATACCAGATTTCAGTTTAAAAAGGGAAATTGTAGGCTTAATACTAAAAACATGAGTTTTGTAAGAAAACCTGACGAGATGGAATTTCATGCATCTCTGGACCTCTTCTGCTGCTGTTTTCAGATTGCTCACACTTCATTGATGTGCACTACACGTGCTCCATAGTTTCAAACTGAAGACCCCTGAAGTTGAACTGTACTGTTGCTTTTTGTGTCTCATCTTGTCACTTTGATGTGTTTAAATTCTGTGTTTTTTCCCCTCAGGCTTGTGTGTAGATTTTATGCATTTGTATGCTGGTCATATCTTCACATTGGTTTATTTTCCATCTGTCCTCCAGGCTATCGATGCTTCAAGGCCGTGTTGTTTCTAACAGGCCTAATGTTTGGCTCTGTGGTCATCTTCATGCTATGCTATAAGGAGAGGGTGATGGACACTCAGCTGAGTGTGGAGGCATCCGTGGGCATCGGCCTGGGCATCGGGACCCTGTGTGGTCTGGTGACGATGCTGGTTCGCAGTGTGGGGCTGTTTATGGTGGGCCTGCTGCTGGGCCTGCTGGTTGGAGTTGCATCACTGGTGGTAATTTGCCTATTTTTAAGAATTATGTGTGTAAGCCAAATTATTAAACAATACATGCATTTGATATATCAGTATTACTTATATTGCATGAATAACACTGGAGCTAAGGATAAGAAAGTAGTTTTCATTGTCTATAGAGTAAAGGTGTATAAATTAACTGCATGCCATTACTATGTATCTGTAATTTTTGTAAAATAAACTATACATGAAAACATGACATTGTCAACAAATCCATCATGCATGTTTAGATATTTTCCTGGAACAATCCACACAAAAATGTCCCGGGTTATTTTTCCCATGATTCTCCCCTCCAACAAGTTTCATGAAAATGTGCCCAGTTGTTTCATTGCAATCTCAGCACCAAAATTTAGAGGTCTATATTTGTCCATGTGCCACTTCTGCAGTGAGTTTTGAGGAAATGTAGGTTTTGTAAAATTGTACAATTGTAGGGTTATTTTTTTTCTTAACTCTTTAGATTTAGATTATGATCCCAAATTGATTCACATACAAAAAAGCAAAACGGAACACTTTTCCTGTCTCTCTTAGGTCATGGAGGAGTTCTACCACCCCAGAACAGTGTGGGTTCCTCTGGGTATTCTCTTGGGTTCTGGGACACTATTTGCTGTCCTCACACTACAGTGGCAGCGCTGCTTTGTCACCCTCTCCACTGCCACATTTGGCTCTGCCATCATAACCGTAACCGTGGATTATTTTATAGAGCTGTTCGCTTTGGTACACTACGTTTATGAGAGACTCAAGGTAAGAACATCAGGGTATGCTTCTGTGCATCTTTCCGAGTACATGTTTGTGAGAAAGACAGATATTATAAAAGTTATTTAAAAAACTTGTTTGTTATGGAATATGTAATTCTGACATAGTCCATATTCTGAAACACATATTCCAGTGATATGTGTGTCAGACTAAAAGGAGATGTAAAACATATTTTGAAAAAGGGTGTGTTCTTTTTGTTAGTAGAAACAGGACTACAAATACTTTTCTTCAAGTGCGGAATGTCGATAAAGGCCTTGCCAGGTCATATCAATTATATTTATAGAGCATATATCAAATAATTGCCTCAGCTGGCTTAAAGACTTGCACTAAGTCTGCACACCCTCTGTGCTCAGGCACTTGGCAAGAAAAAGCTTACAGAAAAAAATCATTAAAATTGGGTGGAAATGGAGAAGATAAATTCTTTAACTGATCAGCAGTTAAGGATATAACTGACACTGGAACTGTATTTTTTGCAGGTGGATCCCAAGAAGCCAGTGTGCTGGTTTACTTGGGTGATCATGGGGGTGTGGCCTGTCCTGGCACTCCTCGGAGTGCTGATTCAGTGGAAAGTCACTGCAGAGGGATTTTCTCACACAGAGGGTGAGTGTTATTGCTTTATACACAACTAAACTCACCAGAGCAGACTGAGAACCTATTTCAATGTTTGTGGTTTTTTGCATCTTGCTAGAGGAATTTTCGGCCAAGTTTAAGTTTGTTATTCATTTTGTTGTCCTCAAAGCTTTTTTATTTATATAGCATCAAATCACAACAACAGTCACCTAAAAGCACTTTATATTATAAGATAAAGACACTACAACAATAGAGACAAACCACAACAACCAAATGACCCTGTGAGCAAGCACTTGGCAACAGTGGGAAGGAAAAAACCCTTTTAACAGGAAGGAACCTTCAGAGAACCAGGCCCAAGGAAGGGCAGCTATCTATCCCGACCAGTTGGGGGTGATGAGGCAGTAGGTTATATAAAATAATTTTTAAGTGAATAATATACTATCCATTGTCACAGCATGTAATCACCAACAAAGGCGGACGTCACGGATGTTGGTTTGGCACTGGCGTTTTGATCTGCGACACTATGTTAGTCTTGCCTTGGTAAACTTGAGCTTGTTCAAGAGATTTATTTAGAAACTTCTGAAAGGTTTATAACTTTTCAGAGATTTTAAAATGTTGTAAACCATCAGGTGACATAATTACGTATGTGGATTCTCAGAGATTAGTATAATATGTAAGATGAATGCAGAGTGTTCATCTCTCTCATCTGCAGTCATACATGGCATTTCGGAAAATGCCATGTATGACTGTCATCAAGGAATCCCGTTTAAGAGAACTACATATATGAGTTGTGTATATGAGTATATGGAAATCAGAATATCTCTCCAAGTCATGAAGTATTTGCTAGTTTCAAGCTCTTGAAGAAATTGTTGGAAGTATCATTCTCTCCACAAAAACTTTCAGTAGCTGTCTACAGATGTTAGAGTTTTAAAATACTTAGATCCCCTCTACTGAAAAACCAGACATATTGTAGTACGAACAGACAACATGATGGCAGCAGTGTGCATTGCATACACAGTAGGCTTGTTTGAAATAGCCAGTAGCCTGCTGCTGCAGCCTCAAAATCTCACGCTGTTCATCAGAGTGGTTCACATCATGGAAGTACAGATCCTAGCAGGAGACTTGATGTCTCTCACACATTAAAGGGAATTTGATTTCTATACATTGTGTAGATGTTTTTGGACAAATCTGAGAAGGAAGAAGTGGATTTGTTCACCATGAAATAAAAGAGTAATTCAGATCTCTGTAAACATATAAGACAACCCTTCACTGGATGTTGCCTTCTCTCACTAGTCATGGCTAGGGATGGGTATCGTTTAGGTTTTATCCGATACCAGTACCAAACCGGTACTTTTGAAACCGGTGCCGGTGCTTAAACGGTGCTCGAACCGGTGCTTAAAGAATGGAGAACACAAAATTGGTCCAAAAACCTCTCATGTTTAGCTGTTTTTTTGTAAAAAGATAATAATGTTAGCCTTTTCTGCAGCTATAGGGGATTTATGGCATCACTCTTGACTGGAAGCAGTGCTTAATCAATGGAAAAAACACAAACTTTGTCCAAAAACCTCTCATATTTAACTGTTTTCCACTTTTTCTTTGGTCATTTTAGCCTTTTTGGCCAGGATGAAGGGAGTATCTGCCATCAAACAAGAAGACAGCCACATGTAACTGCGACGGTGTTTGCTAGTTCACCTTACGTGCATTAATGTAATAACGTGGTTAGCCTACTCAACGTAAATTACACACGAACAACATTAAGCTACTCACGCAGAGAGTCATCATTTCTGCTACACTGGCAGGGCTAGGGGCCAGGACTCTCCTCTTCAGGTTTTTGGGGGATGTTGATAACTCCAGGTCCGATAACAGGCAACCCACCCGCAGTAGATGTGCCCGGTGTGAGGTCTCGCAGCAAGCTATCAAATACGGCGCATTTCTCGGCTTTTAACAAAATGCTATACGTTGCCAGGTGTTTCATCAGATTCGAGGAGTTACCTCCTTTGTACAGTATCGCCTTAAAGCAGGCTGCTGAGTTTGCATCTTTTGCTCTAAAGTACAGCCAGACTTTGACCGCTTTGCCTAGGGCCTTTTTAATCTGTAGCTCTGCTCTAAAAGAATCTACATACCTGGGCACGCCTACTACACTTGCAAAGGTAAAATGATTGGTTAGAATCCAAAGTGTATGACATTTCAAGAAAAAAAAGCACCGAAATAAAGCACCGAAATGTGCGCTGCTTTTCGGTCTGGTTACTACCATTTATGTCAGAACCGACACCGGTACCCATCCCTAGTCATGGCTCAGATTTCCCTTTTACCCATTTTCCCCAGTTTACCTGGTTTCTTTTTTCTAGCACAGTCAGAGGGAGAATCTAGTTGTCATTCTGGTGGCTACAAAACCCACATCATCATAGTACCCAAGCCCTGGCGCCATGGCAGTTTTCTTGCACTGTCATAGCTGAAAGTGCAATTATCTATCAGTAGCAGTGGGCCATAATGGGAATGCCTGGAAAGAGGTCTGCTCCCTTATGCCCTTGCTTCTTTCTGCTACCTGGTACACGGGCAAATTATCTGCTTGTCATGAAGACAATCTCAGACCTCATACAGACCTCCAGATGTTGGTAAATAAGAAACTAACTCCATCTATTAACTTTTAAAATGCGAAAAAGCATTAGGAGGAGGGCAGTTTCTGCATTATTTGGTTAAGTGCTTTCTGATAGGTATCAGGCAACTAACATCTGTTGTGGACTCTTGATACCTCGGTAGGATTTACCATTGGTTCTAATTGCTCTGGGAAAACCTCCTGCTTTACCTGATAGCTGAAATCTCTCTTAAGATACTGCCTCTAATAATAGCACCCCCCAGGATTGATTTTAGTGAACAGTGAGTGACTTATGTGCACCATGTTATCACTGGAGAAGATGGATGTGCAGTTATTTCAGTGACAGATTCTTGTTTGACACCTTGTTGGGTCAAGGGTTAAGTTTTTTCCTCTCCCTTAGGACAGTGCAGCTGAAGCAACATCTCTGCTAACTCTGTTATTTTATATTTAGCACATGGATAACATTAGGCAGACACAACGATTGTATGTCCTCCACAAAGGACACTCACAGGGCATGACCCTGTCAAAACAGCTTCCGTCTCAGTGCGCGTGCAGTACGTTAACACACAAGCTTGCATTGTAGCAGAAGCAAAGTCTACAAATTGAGCTTGTGCTCAAATCACAAGAGCCTTATCTTTGTCCAGAGGGATGGCAGCGGCAGACATCTGTGTATCAGTATCGTGGATTTCTTCATGCGCCTTCATTCGTATTTGCACAAGATATTTGAGTCACCCCCTGACTCAGTCAGTTTTAAGTGTGCTAGACACCCAATGACGCGCTGTCAAATCTGGCACATTAATGCACGTGGAGTGTTGGTCTAATCCCATCATGGATTAGTGAGTCTCATGGTGTGTAACGTCACAGTCCTCTGCTGTGTCACGTGTGTTGTGTGAAATAAACCAAATTTTAAAGTGCAAATTTAATGAAAATGCATTTATCTGAGAATGTTATGCTCGTCATTTCACAACTCACTTGGTTTGATCTGCTACTATTTCCCAAGGTGGAAAGTAACAAAGTAAGCATATTTTGTTACTCTACTTAAGCAGAATTTTCAGGTACCTGTACTTTAATTTTACTCCACACATTTAAACACAAACATCTCCACTTTTTATTCCCTACATTTTAAATACAGGCTTGTTAATTTAGGTTTTAGACATTTGATGTAAGTAATTGTTTCGCATCACAGCGATTTGAACCTAAATGGAGGGAACACAATCCTAAAGGCACTCCCATTGGTGCATCAATCACCGGTGCTTATCACACACAAACAGACGAAAGAGGAATAAATAGAATTTATGCATTTACAGCCTTTCTGAGGTTAAAAAAAAAATCCTGGAATGATTTGAAAAGCTGTTTTTGGTACAGAAGGTTGTTGTTGCAGTACTTCAGCACCTAGCTAGCGCTGCAGCAGAGGAGTGAGAAAAAAGGGAGCAACATTTTTAAGTGCAGTCATTTCTTACAGTTCAACAAATACCAGGAAACAGCCAAAGTTTTTCTGTACAGTTTGTTACAAGATGTGTTTATTCAAAGATTCCATAAAAAATGCTGGTCAGTTTAGTGCAGACTACATTGTTAGTTTTCTGCGCTACGGTGGACTTGGGTAGGGTAGTTGTGGTGTTCATGGTCAGTGTTAGGTTACATCATAGTAGCTGAAAGATGATAATCAGTCATGATGTCTCGTTAAACATTTGCTTATATCTTTCTAAATTTAGCTAAATCCTCAAAAATCAGCAACACAGGTCAGCTAATTACAGCCATAAACTAAATATAGTAAGCTTGTCATAGACATTACTGTGATTGTTTTCGCTGAACCACTACAGTTGATTTTGGGGTTTCCACACCTGCTGAATCACACTTTAACCCCAGATTGTCTCATTTTTCCTGTTTAATGTGGAGGCAAAACCACCCATCTGCAATGTAGGCAAATGCAAATAGAACATTTTTTTTTATTCCCTTTGTTTTTCTCTGATTGTGCTCCACATAACAGCTGTGCAAGCTGAGTACTTTTGTTAGAATTTGAATTAAATTGAAATAAACTTTGTGTTCCTGTCAATCGCTTCATTGTGATATTAATATGACACAAGTATCAGTTAACTTGGCAAAAAAACCAGAATAAATAAAAACAAAATAAATACATAGCCGGTAGAAATGTCCTCTAAAGAGATTTTTTAAAATTTTATTACTGAGTAATTTTTCCGAGCCTGTGCTTTTTCTCTTTTACTCAAGTAAAGAAGCTGAATCAGTACTTCAGTATTTTTTTAACACAGGATTCAGTACTTCTACTTGTCATGAATAGATAAGTGATGAATATATGTACGTTTGACACCTCTGTTCCTCATGTTTCCACCTGAACAGACATTTCATCACTTATCTACTGCTTATTGCTGTTTGTTTACATTACACTTTCAACACAAGCTTTTTCCAACTTTCAAAC